TCAATCAAAATACGTTTCACCTCCCACCACATTGCAATATAATGAATGCATCAGCTATTTCCAACCTCTTCGATTCAATTCAATCAAAAAAAACTTAGGTGATACAAAAAATACCAATACCAGTGATGGCCTACTTCTGTTTCTGCCACAGTTAACACTATTCTCAGCCTTGACTGTGCTATGTGATGAAGGGCAATGACATTTTTCACAGCGAAACTGTTTATGTTGGACGTACAACTTATGACTCACTTCATCACATTGGACAAACGACTCACAGTGGAAACACACTTTCAGTCGATACACATACCCAACCATCCAACATGACTGCGGGTTTTTCCACAATGGTGAAGAAACCGGAAAAGTAACCTTATCAGCTCGCAACAAACAAAAATTAAATAAATAAATGCCTTTTTACTTCCTTTATTAATTTATTCCATATACAAATGCACAGTTCGCTTTCAGGAAGACGGCCGCGGCCATGCAAAGGCTATCTGGGAAATTACAGAAACGAGAAAGACTGGCAGTGGTTCGAACTCGTTGGTGACCTNCTTAGCCAATACCGCCCTGGAACGGTGGCATAATATTGTCACACTCTAAGGGACGACTACATCTGCTATCCATCACAAAGGCTATCTCGATGACTGTTCCCTCATTTGAACTGTACAGGGTAGAAGATGAATCAATGAAAACAATTGTTCGCCTCTGAATGTGTTCTTATGTTCTAATTAAAATATATTACCTTAGTGAATCCTAATCGGTTCATAAATTAAAAGTTTATATAAGTAGCACATTAAATAAACTTGAACTCTATTGAAGTTAAAGGTTTCTAAGCTGGACAGCATATATATATCATAATAAGTAGTATGTGAATGACTTGACAAAATTTCCCTGGAAGCACACGACTGGTTTCCCGGTTCTTGCCGCTCGTCAGGCATGCGTATTCGGTAATCTTCAGCTATTTCATTCATACACTTGAGCACAAGAAGTGTATTTTCGCCACAATAACCTTATTGCAACACCGGCTGACTTTTAGATGAACAGCTCTTTCAGAGTCATTAGAGAATCGATACTACTACTACTACTACTACTACAAAAGTCTATCGGATACACAAGCCCGACGAGCGGTAAGAACCGCGAAATAGGGAAATTGTTTTCAGTCATTCATATATTAATTGTGAAATATGTATACATCGTAGGCTTGTGGAAAATCATGGTGCCAACGGAACAACGATACGAATAGAGAAGGGTTTGGGATTGAGGTACACAGAAAAGAACGACGTGGACAACCGACAATTAGTGAGGACCAAAGGAATAAGAGCAATAACATCTTTGTGTTTGTTTAACCGTGAGAAGAATGAAAGACCGTGGCATTCTCTAACTAAGGGAGGTAGATAAAGACCAGTTTATTCTGTCCATGGGTCCATTTTGAAGAGGCGAAGAATTCGA